CTGACTATTTAGTTAGGGACACTGACCTCTTTTTCCTTAGATTATCAAGTAAAAAGATGATAACAGTCAACATAACAATAGTTGTCTAGTGTGAATTAAAATTATACCAATTTTATTTTTTTCAGATTGGCAAAAAATATAGTACATTAATACTATAAACACTTCCACATTTTAAGTTACCAGAATCTTACCTTTATTGCTGAACTTGTAAATTTTGCCTAAAATCCATTTTCTAGTGATTAGTGCTAAGTATTTTGTTCATCTCAAAAATGTATAATTATAACTTGTCCCTCCTTGGATTATAGATTATATACCTTTCCACTTATATGGTTTTAAACCTTATCATTAATTAAGCCTGAAATAATAAAAGTATAGAATGATATGAAAGCAAGTGTACTAAAAAAGACAGGTTCTAATACAGATTCTGCTTATTACTTGGACAAGATACCTCTTCTCATCTATAAAAGGACTTCCTTTTCAAGCAGTATTGCTGACTAGATAACTTGAAAGCATTCATAATATAAAATACCAAGAAATATAGAATAAAAAAACATACATAATTTTAAATGTATAGCTGAACAGGAGTTAGGAAAATCCCTAGAGGCTAAGTGTATAGAGGGAACGTGTTTTGCCATTCTTAATAACAAATGGGTTTTACCACACAGGGCCGTAAAGCTGAAGGTTTGTCCTTGGTTAGGAATTGTTATCTTTATAGTGTTATACAGTTAAATGATACGAAATAAAATGTTTCAAAAATGCCGTATAAAAATCGAAGTTCTTATTGGTGGTGGTTCATAAACTTTCCACCTTTCTCTACAGTATGCTAAAAATGAGGAAAGGTTGATGCTAAAATTAATACCTGATATCTAAATTAGACCTCCCTTTCTTTGAGCAAAATCCAGCATATACTTTCTATTTCTAGAAATGTTCTGCTTTTCTAAGTTTTGAAATTAATTTTTATGTGATGTTATCACTTATCTATTAATCATTCCTAGTGAGATGGTTGTATGTACTCTCACTGACGCTAAAGAGTGATACATATTGTTAGGAATGAAATGTCATTGTGTAACAGGTCTCAGTTGCCAACTGACCTACTGATGTTAAAATTTAATGACCCTGTCATCTTTTCCAGATAAATGCAGTGCGTGCAATAGTTCCCAATAAGAGCAACAATGAAATCATCCTGGTTTTGCAGCACTTTGATAATTGCGTGGACAAAACAGTACAAGCATTTATGGAAGGTAATCCTAGTTTAGTTTTTTAATAAGTTTGTGTTTTTTCAAATAGAAGTTGATTCAGACTTCTATAACATTCATTTAAAAACCTGGTATTTCATAGATGATATAGTAGACCTCATGATAATATAACATATCATGCCATTTAAAAACGATATCTCATCATTGAATAGGTACATCAGATTAAGTCTCCCTGTTTCTGTTTTTCTGCCAGTATAGAATAAACAGGGCCAAATATTATACGGTTTTTCTTCATTGTCATCTGTTTTCTTGATAATGTTAGCATTTGGGTCTAGGGTAGTGTACAGCTCTCTAAAACCACATAGCCAAAGTGGTGTGTAATCTTCTGGAGGAGAGGGGATAGCATACGTGGGCTGAAACCCCTCATCTTTGTATTTGATCTAAGTTATATAAAAGAATTTCAAAATGGTCAGGCTACATTAGTCTCTTCTTGGAAGAACTTACTGAGAAAATTACATGGAGAAGGGGAATCTAAATGGGCAGGTATTGCAAAAGATAAGCATGATATGATTATCTCATTACATTAGCTCAGAGACTTGAACCTTAACTTTCCTGTTACGAACTTTAGAAATTCTCTAGCATTTACAAAAAGCAGAGACACCTATTCCTTCTTGACCATGCATGTGGTAGCAGAGAAAATCTGTGACTGGTTTCTCTTACAGGTAGTGCCAATGAAGTACTCAAAGAATGGACAGTAACAGGCAAGAAAAAGGTAAAAATGAATGAAATTTAAAAGCATGATGTTAATATTATAAAAATATTTAGGCTGCAAAAATATTTGAAAGAAACGATTTATATATGCATCTTCAGTTCACCTGGTTTAAAAAAGTCTTCTGTGACATTGAAACACAGCTGTGTACATAGAGTACCATGCAATCTCCTCCATGTGATTTAAGACAGGAAACAATGACGCTGCCATGGTGGAGTTGCTGAAGGTGTATTAATACTAGGCAGGAATGAAACAAGAGAGAGAGTATGTCAAGGAAAGCAGAGCTGCACTAGAGAAAGTGATCTAGTCCAGTGGTTTCAACATTATTCTTAACATAGATCTGTTAAAATAGTTTAGGTTCTTAGGTCAGACAACTGTGTTGTAATCTCTGGTATTAATGACCTCTGACTTTAAGCCCAAAGAGGGTCTTTGCTATTGTTGGTTATATAGAGGGGCCTGGTGTCCAATTTAGAGAGGGAAAGGCACTTGGGCTGTGGAGTCGATCAGAACAGGATTTATATACTGTTCTACTTAGGGGCTTTGCAACCTGGGAGTATTGTTTAACCTTGTGTGCCTTAGTTTGTTCATCTCTGAAATAGGAAAGTAATAATAATGAATACTAGTACCTAATTTCTAACATACTGATTCTCATTTCCTTCTCCTTGTCCACTCGAAACCAAAATGCTTTCCCCAAAGGATACTAGCTGGTCTCAAAATGCTTTCCACAGCCCTGTACTCTAAATCTAGCTTCTTTAGGAAATGCTTGAAGTATGAATTTTAA